CACAAAGGCCCACATCCGCGGGGGGTCCCTTCTACTCCACGTTCCTTTGCGCTACTTGTCCCGGAGAAGACGCTAGCATGCTGTCTTGCAACCCGCAAAAGGCCAGAACCTCACCCTCCTTGACGCGGAATGGCTTTGGCCGGTCTCCTGCAGGAAGTCGAGGGAACCGGCCAGATTCACATGCCAAACTAAAGGGAAACCGCGCGCAGCACCCTTATTTTCCGAAACAGAGGCTCGGAAACATTGCCAGCGACTAGAAACTTCTGTGACAGCACACGGTGCTTCCAGACAATCCTTCTCAAGCAGAAACTTGGGCGCCTAACAATTATCACCTGACTCCAGTCATGTGTCTGGACACACCATCAGCTGTACATAAGCAGACCAGCAGCGCATGTTCGGACATGCTTGCCTCCCGGTAAAATGACCAGGATGCTGAGCATCGGTCTCTCCACAGACGGGGTCGCAGGCAGCAAGCACAGATGATCCACAAATGCAACTACTGAATTATCGGCTACGTGATGCTGGCTAGTGCGATTTCGCATTGCCAGACACGAAAGAATACGCGGACGTCAGTGATGTATCGATCGTCGACCTGCGAAATGAGCTTCTGCACCTGAGCCACTTAGGGAACGCAGAAGCAAGAATCTTTTCTGGATGACAATACATGATGATACTCGAGCTTGTCATGCTGGCGGGCAGCTGTGGCAGCTACTGCCTGTGGAGTCAGAGTTTAATGAGCCCATCGTCCGTGAGGGTCAGGCCTTCGGCCGGCCCTTTGAGTGGGATCCTTGGCTCCGATTTGGCTCAAACTTTGCTCGAGATACGAATAAAGGGCATCACGTGACCAAAACCGAAGAGCCGAGATGCGTGTCAGCGTCAGTTGCTTGCGTCAACTGCGCAGCACCAATCACCAGATCTGGAACATGTTTCTGTTTCTTGCCAGGTGGTGGGTGATCCAATCTGATGCCTTCAGTATGGGATGACCATAACAAATGGACAATCCAGTCGTCAGGAAAGCCTCAATGCCGGCAAGGGACAGTCCTCTTCGCTTTCTGCGATTGTGGGTGGGTGTGGTGCTCGATCATGGATCACTACAATGCCTGGGCATGTTCCACCCAAGACGTTACGCCTGCTGAAACTTGTCTGCGCTCAGGAAGCCACCATTTTCGATATCTTCAGAGCTGATAGCTCTCAAGCGACCGTTTCCCTCCTGCCAAGTGTGAGCAAGCACTACCAACACCACAGGTTACTGTCAACATGTGACAAACTACGCCTTACCATGCGAGCTTGATCAAATCAACACGCAGTTAAGTAGTCTCCTTGTCTGAAGCGGTGGAAGTAGTCGGGCTTGGAGGAACGCCCACGTGGACCCGGCCAACTGTGTAGGAGCTAGTAGAGCCTTGAGGTGATGGAGGCACTGTTGGGATTGCCACGGCTTTCTCCGCCTTGTCCTTCATGTCAGAGTCAGCAATACCTTCAATCTCAGTCCGACAGTCACACACTGCACTGCATGATCAAGAGACGCTTTACTGCATGCATCAAAGGTGCTGGCATTGCCGCTCATGAGAGAGCTCTTGCTACTGGCCTCGCCCTTGAAAACGGTGATCATGCCGCAGATGACGAGCAATACGCACAAGGAGTACATGCATATTCGCCAGACTTCCAGATGGCGAACATCAAGCAAGACTATTGCACCAGACAGGCTTGCGGAGAGGATCATTGAGCCTTCCACCGTAGTGATCATGAAGAAGGCTTCATAGTGCTGGAGTCCCTTCGTCAGGAAGTAGGCGTTTACAATGGCAAAGAAGGCCGCCCCAAGCCTACAGCACGCAAGGCACGCAAGGATTCAAGGGTGGGATGACGTTAACCTAGGCATAAAAGGACAACAAAGCCCGGCAAAGCCCGGCGCAAAGCCGCGTATGGGATCCAGGTCTTCCAGGGCTCCGGGTCTCCTAGAGCGATGCTGGTCTGCACGAGCTCCTGCAGCTTCCAACTTGCTGCAGATCTTGCTACGCTGTGCTTCCATCATTCTGCCGAACTTAGGCTTCCATCATTCTGCCGAACTTAGGCCGCGTCGATTGCAATCTTTGTGCACCACATGTTGCCTTAGCAAACTGCAGACCAACTCCATTCTGCACTCCTGCTGGAAGAGCTGTTCCAATCCTTAAGTTGAGAAAGGAGGCCAGCTAGTGATCCTGCAGTCCAACCGTAAGACAGGCCCTTGATGAAGCTTCCTGTCGGCCACCGCATGAGGTAGAACTGATTGAACAGATACCTGGGCATTCAGCAACCACTGCGCGTGGTACACGGGAGAGCCTCATTCAATCAAAATGCCAGGAAATGAAGACCAGAAAGTAAATCAAGACCCGAAGATTGACCATGGTGTCCTCAATGTACTCCAGCGTGTATATAGGGTCCTGACCAACTAAGGGACGGCTGTGTAGCGTTGCTCAACATTAGAATCGATCCACACCTTCTGGTTGCCGAAGGCCGCCGAGCCGATGCTTCCCATCATGACCAATGCACTGCCCACCGCGCGGTGTCTGGCAAAGCAGTCTGATGAAGCAAAGGGTTGGGAGAGCTCCAAGCCATCACAGGATTCGCTACAAACAGTAAATCAAGGCAGCAAAAAAGCTCACATCCTGGGTGAAGGGGACAAGCCTTGTCAGCTTCTCTTTGAGAATAAATGGGGCCAACAAGGCGTTCCACACCACGTCAAGACCTGCACATGTGTTCAATTACTTCTCATGGCTGCAGCACGTGTGGTGTGCCAGCTAGCAGCGCTTAGCAGCGCGACCTCCAAAGGGCGCCACCAAAGATTGAGGCGCAAAGCTGTAGGCAGAAACATCGATCAATGGGCCAATGATGGTATTTGTCAGAAGGCCCACTCGGAACCTTGAATGCAGAATGGAAATAGAGAATGATAACGCTCTGAGAATACGTCTCTGCCGTGCAGCAAAAACTTTGAGAACATCGGATGTTTTTTCTCATGGATCGTGGACAACCTTACGAAGATCTTCCCTGCAGTCCCACACATGCTGGAGATGATCTCGAGGCCTGACAGGAAGTCAAGAGCTCAGTAGCAGGGTCGGTTCTCTGGCAGTCACACTTCTGGGCACTCTGTTCTGGGCACCTATGCCCACGTACCAGAGACCGGTCAGGACTTGTTCCTCCTCCCCATCCGTCGGCATCTCACTGGTGGACATGGCTCTTGAAGCTATCAAATCTTACGTCAATGCAGGCCTGGGCTTGATGAACGGGTGCAAGTGGGTATTTGGTCTACGGGAGTTGAAAAAATCTTTGTCAATGTGACCAAAAGCTTGTTTGAGCTGTAACATCAGATCGAGTTGGTCGCATGCAATAATTGCAGTTCAGGACTTCACGCTGGAACCATGAGCGCCTTCTTCAGCAACAAGCTGGAGGCCTTGACCAAATACGACCTTACTGCACAGTATTGAGGACTTGGACCCGGCAAAAAAAGACACGCATGGCGTCTCCAAGGCAACGGCATCGCTATTAAATGCCCACACTTCCTTTGCTGTCTCCTCGCTTCGCACGGCGAAGTTTCCCCTTATGATATTGAGACGGCTCGCGGGAGGCTTCGCAGGCCAGAATGAGGGACAGCAGTGGAGAGAGCTTGAGAAGACGCAAGCTACTCTGAACGGGTCACTCGGCACAGCTAAGATGTTGAGGCTCACAACATGCAGAAGCTCCAATTCTGCGGCCTCTCCTCTGCATGCGCGCAGAATCGATGCTCAGCTGCAGGACCTGCCCAGACCTGCCCATGAAATCATGCTAGCCGGTAGCCACCCATCTGAACTAGCAGTAAATGAACGGCCTCCCATGATGTCACAACCGCATCGACAACACCATCATGTAGCACCTCCACCTCCACCAGTATGGGCTTGTGTCAGTGGCAGCTGGCTTACTACATTCTAGCGTCACGACACACTCAATCCTTAGATCTAGTGCTTGTTGAAGGAGAGCTCGCACACCTCTGAATGCCGTCATCCCACCTCAACCACAGTCTTGCGCGGAATGCTGCTGCGCTTGAGCTGGTGGAAGTCCAGGCTGAAAATGCAACATCTATTTGACATAATTGCCAGGTCCGGCAAACAGGCCCATCGGAATCCTCTTGTCCGGGATGAAGTCAATGAAACTGTATCCAAGAGTTCCGACAAGTTGTCGAGACCAACTTTGGATGAGCCCATGTCTGCAACAGAGCGCATGCCAAGGTCAGCTGACATGAGAAGCTGAGCATACTGTGCTCCACCTGCTGGAATTATAGTTGCGCTGGGCTTTGCCAATCTTCGGCGAGCATCTATGAGATATTCGAGACTTCCGGATCCTTGGCCAGTGATGAATATGTCGTAGGGTTCACAGACCAACACGTCTACCCGGCTCTCTTCAGGCAAACTCACACAACTGCTGAGATGATGTGCTACTTGCACAGCAGCAGTGACTCCACTGCGCCTCACAGTCTCTTTCGCCAGCTCGCACATCTCGCTGCAAGCGTCCAAGCCCAACACGTGCCTCGCACCCATCTTCGCGGCCAACACAGCAAGCTGGCCAGCCCCAGATCCCAAGTCCAAGACATTCTTGTTCTCAACAACACCAGACAAAGCGTCGCGAAAGAATCGCAGTCTAGAAGGGTTGTTCAGGAATGCAAAGTAATCATCGTTGATTGCCCGTACCGCTTCACACCGCTTGCCCTGCAATCGCTCCGTGCAAACAAAGTTTGTTGGCATGTCTGCCTCATACGTGACACCTGCGTACACATTTCCAGCTCCAACAGCGTCACACAGCAATGGATGTGCTGCATCAGACAGCCACTTTGCAGGTTTGCACATGTTACATTGGACACCTGCATTTTCTCTTTGCAACTCGACATGCCCAGGTGGCTCTGACGGTGCCAGTGCTGCGTCTGCCTGGCAGCAGCTGGCGAAAACAAGCAGAGCTGGACAAAGAACAGCTTCCGTGACTCGCCTGGGATGCTTCTTCTAGCCGCGACACGGTGAACTGCAACATCTCCCCGTCCCTCGAGAAGCCTCACAAGAATGCAGCAGCCTCATTACTCTTCCTACTTGCACCAGTCAGTCACGTGTCCCTCTTGGCCACGTTGCCACACTCGTACTTCCACAGTGATTGATTGCACATCAATCCAACGGCCCTGCTTTTATCATGCCATGAGAAGTGCCACGTTGGGCTGGCCTGATTCCAGTCGAGTCGCGCACTTCGAGCCGCAGCTCCTCCCCTTTGGTCACAGTCATGCTGTCCAACTGCACTGCCTCCACACAGCTTGATAGGAAGCCTCCCTTCCCAGGGTCCGGCAGCTCCGAACCTGAAAACCTTGGCCCCAATGAGCATCACGGGCGAAACCCCAAGGCTGACCCTGCACCGGCAAGCAAAATAAACACAAAGTCACGAACGCACAACGGCACACTTGCTCTGTGCATGCACCTTGGTACTGTCAGCCGCAGTGCTAAGCAAAAGCGTCCTGTCCTGCAATGTGCCACTAGCGGACAGCTCTCCAGTGTCAGATTGCAAGCCATTCCTTGTCAGCCCAAACTTCCCACGATGTTACAACCTGTGCAATCTCTGCAGGACCAGTGACAATGTCATAGACATGGTGGCATACGCATGTCATCATCATGCTGAGCCTGCTGCGGCATCCACAATTCCGTCTTCAAGAATTTGAACCCTGAAGTGTCCTGAGAACATGCTGCCAAAAGCCACACCACTGGAAATACCAACAGGCTGGAGAACAGCGATGGCAGTTTCAAAGTTCCGTTCCTTTGGAAAGTCAGTCCCTTCCGCGACCAACTGCTGACACGTCTAGATTACCCTTAGCCGCGTTTCATAAGTCTTGATGTTTCAAAAAAAGTGGCCAGAGCTGAGCAGCTCTCGCACTGCAAGCTGATGCGTTACAGTACCAGGGCAGCAGCCCATTTGCGTGCAAGGCGGTGACAAAAGCAGATCAAGAATTGATGGACGTTTCCTTCTTGCATTTCGGTTGCTGGCCGAGAAAACCTGCTTTCTCGTCCAAATTCAAGTCTTCAGTGAAGATAATAGAATGAAAGCAAAGCACTCCAGTTCCAGCAATTCTTCATGAAGGCTGCACAGAAAGATTGCAATTAATGCGATATTCGGCGCATCAAGTGCAAAGCATCTGACGGATTAGGCTGCGATTGTCAGTGTAAAGGAGTCCGATGAAACGTTTTTACTGCTCATGACGAGGATCTCCGCAAAGGCGTCGCAAGCGGCCAACATCAGACAAGCCAAGACAAAGTCTAACTCTAAGCCGCTAGCTGGAAGAAGGGATATCGCTCGGCCGTGAAGAAGCGAAATCAACCTCATAGACACACCGGTGATCACTAGTGTGACAGGCATGCACGGGGCATTTGCAGCCTCCAGAACGCTGATGTTGTCCGACATCCAGCAAGCATCTGGCAGTGAGTTCACCTAGTAGGGCTTCCGGCTTGGAATTCCTCGCCTATGAAGCTGCTTCGTGTGCGTTCCAAGTAGCACTGAAGCCACCAGGCAAGGAAAAGCGCACTTGTCCTGGACTCGGGAACAAAGATCCGAACAGGTGAAGCGTCCTGCCACATCCTGAAGATCCAAGTGTCCTGCATCTCGAAACGTATTGACATGGAGCATCTCAGGGTCCAAAGCTGAGCAAGCTGACCGTAGAGCGGTAGAAGCCAGCAACCGCGCGTGCTGAGCACCCCCAGCAGGAAGAATGCTTGCACCAGGTTTTGCCAAATTTTCCCTTGCATGGATGAACGACTTCAGGCACCCCTCTTGGAGGAGAAGCACACCAAATGTTTCGGAAACAATAACATCAGCCTTGTCCTTCTCCGCCAGTGAGAGCAAGGCGCTGTGCCCTGCATGCACGTCTATGATGTGTTGCAAGCGATTATGCTCAGCACTCGTCTTGACAACTGCGGCCATGTCAGCTGACTCCTCCACGGCCAGCACAGAGCTGGCACCAAGCTTGGCAGCCATCAAAGACAAAAGCCCAGTTCCAGCACCTAAATCCAACACTCTTTGGCCTCGGACTGGCAATTTCTCCATGGCAGTCCAATAGAAGTCATTCCTGTGGACATCTCGCAACATGGCAAGATAATCATCGTTGATCCTGTTCACCAGCTTCATGCCAATGCCGCGAAGACGTTGCGGACATAGTGACGCTCGAGGAAGGACATCTTGAACTTCCTCATCTTCTGACACTTCGGAAGAGCTGTTGGAAGCCTTGTGCCGTTTCAGAAGTGGCTCTGCCATATGGCAAAGTCACAGCAGACTTCGGAGAGCATTGTTGCCCCCAGGGCAATTTCATTGACAACCCTGGTCCCTACGCGTTCTCCTGTCATCCAATGACAAGCAGATTTCTTGCTCAAATCACTAAAGCATGCTTTGATCAATTTAGGCTGATTAACCATTTGTAGCCAATGATGTTCACACCGTGACATCACCAGAAGCACGGTTCGGCTAGTTCCAGTTATGAATGGGTCAAGTGCTCGAAGCACGGCAGTTTAACGCGAACCGAGTTGTTGACCCAAGTGGCTGCAGTGTTCAATGTGCTGTCCATTTTCCTTCAGTCACTTTTCTACGACATCTCACAACAGACCAAATGCTTTCACAGAGCAAACACAGGCTTTCCGACAGCATGCCTTTCAGGATGGTCAACGTTCCGCCCCATCAGGGGCCATAAAGAAGACGGGTGTCATTCCTTGAACTGTCACCTCCCATGCAACCTCGATGAGAAGAGACCCTGCAAGTTGTCCAGACATGCTTTGCACATCTCCAACTCTACAAAGGAGTATTTGCCAACCGACAGACCGTGCAGCACACAAAGAGCAGCAACATCGCAAAATGCATCTAGAGGCTGCGACGGGCTGCAAGTGGACATATGGCTTGAAAGTGCCCAGCCTGGTTGCCTAGCGCACCTTTGAGTGCGGCCAGCAGCATTCGCGCACAACCAGTGGGCGACTTGACAGCTAACCCTCATGGCGAAACGAGGGCTTCAAAACATGGAAAGAAGCAGCTGACGTCCCATGCAGGCTGCCAGCAAAAGCTGTCTCAAAAAGACTTCACAAGCTCATCCTAACATTCGTCCTGAATCCTTGCCTCGGCCGCAAGCGACGTGGCTCGCGACGATGATCGGCTGCTGCCATCTGCCCTCAGCAAAACATGAGGCGGAGCTCCAAATTGAGGACATTCTGAACTCGGGAGTGGACTGATGCGTCGCCACTGCAACCAGCTCATAAATGGCCCCTGTTTCCTTGCGCAGAGTCTGGCTGAATTGCGCTGACAGAGGACATGTCATGCCGTGCCTGTGCCACAAACTTTCGCAGGTCGACAATGTCTTTCACTTTTGCGCTGTTGGTACCTTGAGGGCATTGAACAAGGCTGTCTACCTAGATGCCGCTTCGGTGGGACCTCGCAATTCCAAGATGGCTTCCATGAACTCTGCAAAGGAGAGTTCCCTGGCAAGTTTTCAACAAGCCAATGAGTTGGCAAGGGATTTGCAAAATCAAGTCTGCTTCATAATTAGTGGCCAGCCGCATGTCCCCCTCTTTGCCGAACAGAACCTCCTTTGATGTATGCTCGCTTGATGTGCACGGTTGGCTAGCTGTGCAGGCAAGACTCTCGATAGTCGACAAGACCCACCACGTCAACACCTCTGCAGAAATCGTAAGGATCGAAGTCACTGGCATCCACTGCATCACTGTTGAAAGTCATAGCCCCGTGCCAATGTTCAGCAAAGCTTTTGCAGCTTCTGGCTTTGACAGGAGTGTGTCGAATTCCTCAGTTGTAAGGTCAGTATCCATTCTACCATGCAAGCTGTAACTGCTTTACCAAGACTCCTGCGCTAGAATGGGGTGGACAGAGCAAGTGAAAAAGACTGCACAACTGTTGGAATTGTTCAAGATTGGGTCTGAGAATCCTGTCCTGCAACGTTTTCCCTGGTTTCCCACACAGCTCGGTTCATAGCGACAATGAAGAGGGGCTCTCCCGCAGAATGGTCAGAATGCAAGGCATTCCGAAATTTCATGCATCCCAATACATGCACACACAGACAAAACAGCACTCCATTTCAGTGCTGAGATAACCACGGCAAAAGAATGAACAGCACATGGCGCATATGTCGAAAGCTGACTGTGAGCTCCGCCCACGCTGCACAAGCAGTCCCGAAAATGGCATTGAACAAGCCACTGATGTGCTCTAAGCCAAAATGTGCACAGCACGCTTTTTGATTCGCCGTATGGCAGGGGGGTCCTCAAACGCCCCAAAATCCTCCCGGGCCGGACTGGGCGGTTCTGCACCCGCAGGGCGTAGAGGCCACCCCATGTTTCGCGCACATGTCAACGCCTAAAGGCGAATTATGACAAATCCGCCTGGGTTCGGCGGTTGGGTAAACGTGACAGTCTGAGCAATGGACGGCTTCGCCGACGCCCATTTGCTCACTGTTTCAACGCACAGAAATGGGATCCACCTTCAGATTCACAGGTGACCTCATGACCCCCATTTTGTAATACAAAATAGGGGGGGGTAAACCATTTGCTCCCTTATAAAGTCATTTTGGTTTTATGTTATGGGGGGCAGGGGCGTCATTTCATAGAAAATCGAAATCCCAAGTCGCGTACCACAAAATGAGGGGTACGACCATGTGCATTTCTTTTATATTTCGACGTCCACGACGTCAAAATGTAAGAACTTGCATTTCTTTAATGATTGTTTAGCTGCAGGGGGTTCGTAGGATTTAGAGGGGTTTGTAGGATTCAATGTGTTTGCCGTAAGGTAGGGGGTTCGTAGGGTTTAGGCCCTGGCCTCCTGCTGTGCCTGGCTTGGTTCGAAGGCCTATACTTACCCAGCAGCAGCCCAGAGGAGCGAAGGCATAGAGATGGGTTTAGGGTTACGGCCTGAGATCACAGGGTTTAGGGTGCAAGGTGAAAGGGGGTTTAGCGGGCTTTAGGGTGGGTATCAAACAAACCGCTCATGTGGTGTAAGCCAAAATGTGCACAAGGCCTTTTTCCCGAGAGCACCGCGACGGGACACAGCACTTACACCGCTCGCAGACACCACAACATCTACATTGCTGAGGGACACAACGCCACAGTCCATACCTACACCGTTCACAAACGCCCCACCACAACACTTACATCGCTCACCTACACCTCACCACAGCATTTACACCACTCGCCTACACTACACCACGGCACCTTTTCCATTTTCTCCTATTTCCAAAGCCGGGGTAGGTTTGGCGGGCGTAGGCGGGACGCACCCTTCGGCGCCGTGCGAATTTCAAAGCTCGCCGTCGAACTCTCTGCAGGTTTCGTGCGTGTCGGATCGCTCTCGCTGTGGTGCCGTGCGAGTTCTAAATAAAACTCGCGCGCGAACCTTCTGCGGGTTTCGTGCATGTCGAAACGCTCTCGTTGTGGCGCCGTGCGAACTTTAAAGCTCGCCGGTGAACCCTCTCCGGGTTTCGCGCGGGTTGAAAAGCTCTCGTTTTGGTGCCATGCGAATTTCAAAGCTCGCCGGCAAACCCTCTGCGGGTCTCGTGCGTGTCGAAACACTCTGGCTGTGACGCGGTGCGAATCTCAAAGCTCGCCGGCGAATCCTTTGCGGGGTTCGTGTGTGTCGAAACGCTCTGCGGCGTGCTGTGGCGCCATGCAAATTTCAAAACTCGTCGGCGAACTCTCTGGGGGTTTCATGCGTGTTGAAACGCTCTCTCTGGTTTTGGGCGGGTGGCGGCGCTGGCGCGTGGAGCGTCGTCAGAAATCTTACACGCATCGCGTACACCAGAGAATCCCCCGTGTTTCCATCTGCTTTTGTACGCACCCTTGAGTTTGATGGCGTTTGAGTCCGGCTCGAAGGAGATTTTGCTGGCGGTAGCCTTGCAACAGCACCAGGGCAGCTGTTCAAACCGCACACTGCAGACAAATGTGGGACACTTAGCCTCACATGACCCAGGAAGCAAGCAAGAACTTCACCTTCCTCAGCCACACAGCTCCTCTCAATTTGCGCAAGGGAAAACGCACACCTAAAACGCCACAAACGCATATGCGCAAGCGTCGACGTTCCTCTCAACGGGCGCGGGGACCATGCAGCGCAGCATAGGAGGCTCAAATCTAAGTTCCTAGCGGTTGTAGCAGCATGCGCAAACAAATTGAGCACCAGCAGGGAAGGAAACTGAACTTCAGACCTGCTAGCAGTACAGTTGGGGGCACACTGTGGCGAAGAGTCCTTGAGAGGGCTGTACCTCGATCCCGGCACTAAATAGTTGTGCTTGCGCGATCCTATCTCGCTGCCTGAGGCATTCTTAGCCACACGAATTACATGCATGGATAGGCGGACACTCACACTGGTCATCACTGGTCTTCAGCGGAGGTCCATGCCTAGGTTACACTACCTTTAGTGACGAGAGCTCTTCTCTACATTCTCTACCTACACAGTGAGGTCCAAAAGGACTCTCAACTCTAGAGACCCTCGCCGAAGGACCATAGGACTCTTCGCCAAGTCAGTTGCGTGATCGCCAGCATCGGCGGCCGCCTTGAAGGCGGCACCAAAACTCAGCGAGGAGTGAGCGGCCATTGCTCAGATGCTACAGCGGAAGAGCACAAAAAGAGAGGCTGTCTGAGCAAATGGACGGCGTACGCACATTTGCTCCTCGTTTCAACGCACACAGGTGTGCATCACACGAAGCAAGATGCTCTTCATGGCGCAGGGAACAGGTGTAAGCGAAACTTCCAGTTGCAAGACAAGAATCATCCTTCGAGATCCGGTTATCGCCATCCGCATCCAAGTTCATCTTTGTAATCATATCCTTGGCGCAATGAGAAAGAAGTGCCCCAATCTCTAAGCAACTTTGCTGCCAGAGAGCAGAAAATATCTTTTTCACGAAGCTGACTTCAAGCCTTGCTCACACAACATCGTCACTTTGGCAGATTGATTTGTAGCCTTGCCTAGCTCCTCCTGAAGCAGCTGCCCAACGATGCTTGAGACAAGTGGCTGTTCTCTTTCAATTTCGGAGACAGTTTTGATGACTTCCACCAAAACGCCCACAAGCATATTCATCATTGTTACCTCGGCATTGCACGGCTATCAAGCCCTATGTCGTCAATAAATAGCCTGGATGGGCACACTGGACTCAACGTGAGGGGAACAGGGAACCAAGATTTGGTAGTCTCCAGCCTACTACCGACTGCTAATCAAATAACTGAAGATGAGAATGCGCAGAGACAGCTCAACATCATACACTGTCCCCCCCAGACATCCACGACATGCGCAGCCACAATGCCGGACAAGAGCAATTGCATGCTTTGTGATATGCCGTCTTTTGTCATCTGCCGCAGATTTCCGCAAAACTGTGGAAGCGTTACAGCTTTTCCACAAATACCACAGCAAGCAAGTACACGAAAATCCAGCAGCGTTGCCGGAGAAATTCAGGAGGCGATTTGTGAGTCAACATGCAAGCGTTCGTGCGCTTGACTTGCACTTGTGATCATCCAGCAAAGTAGATAATGAAAACTGTTCTTTTTGTGTTCGACCATCTCTTTGACGATGTGCCCTGCCCTGCTAGCCGGATAAATCCTGTAGAAATGGTGGGTCGAGATCCTATCCATCCCTGCAAACACCTATCGATAAACAATTCTGTCTGTTGACTGCACATTGCTCTGCAACTACGATGCAACCGCTCGTCATCCAGATATGTCCAAAGCTTGCTCGGCGTTTTGCATTCGATGACTCCACTGACGCAAATCCGTGCATGCCGCGATGACTGCTGAAATCTAGTGCCCTCTGCAGCCCAAACATTACAGCACTGCACTGCCTGATGCTGAGTCTAGCTGCTGAGCCGAGCAGAATAAAGATCATCATCACGCTGGCCTCAAATGTTGGCACCCTGCAGAACAGCACTGCAAACATCTAAGTGTCCTGAGCTCAAGGCAAAGACCACTCCTCCGGTCATGATGTCACCTTGGAGGCGCTGCGCTTGCGCGAATACTTTACAGACAAGGCTGCTGGTAACCAAGCGACTCATGAAGCCGTTCAAATCTGGCAGGACTGCCTGCAACGCTATTTTGTTCTGTTTGGCTAGCGTGATTCCATGGAAACACCAAACAAAATCTCCTCGTCTGTCACTTGCTCGCATGCTGAGAGATGCAGAAGGGAGTGCCGACAAATGCCAAACTCCTAGTATGAACCGACTGCTGAATTTGAAAACGCGCATTACAAACTTTGGATTGTGGGTCATCACTATTCCCAACTCCCCATCGGTAGACACGTGCTTCGCAGCGGTGTTCATGAAAATGTTTGCTGTGCACTTGGCGCATCTTGGCGCAAAGATGAAATGCTTGAGTATGTATTTTGCACCAGTGGAGCAAGTCCTCTGGCATACCCTGACATGCGCCGAAGTATTCCGGAATCAGTCATGTATCTGGTTCACACTGCTTTGCGTGTACTTAGTCTTCAGCTCATCGACATTGCTCTTGCCTAGGTGGCTGCAAATGATCTTCGGACTCGAGGTTGTCTGAGGACAATATCTCTTGAACGCAAGTTGGCGAATCAAAGAGCTCAAACGAGTGGAAGGGATGGAAGGGGTGGGGTCGCTGAGCTGGCTGGAGCCCTGTCAAAAGGGATTTGCCAAGCATTGCCAAGCCCTTCGATGATGCAGACTGCTGTGCAAAATGGCGGAGATGTGCAAAGCACAGTACTTGTGATGACATTTTTAAGAGTGCCTTCACAGTGCTGGATGCCCATGCCTTCAAAAAAGTGTGTTTACACAAGCAGAACAACGACTGCCAGCAAAGGTTGTTAGTAGCTGCATGCTGGGCAGAAGATTGCATTCTGCCCCCAGGGGGTCCCCCTGACCAGTGCCTCGAACAGCAAGGTGCGCATGGAGTCTTCGAACCTGAAAAGCGAATTATCCGAAAAAATCAAAAAAAAACTGCTACTCAGAGGACGGCCTTGCAAAATACGGCTGAATTTTGGGGAGCGGTGTATCTCGTGCCAGCTGCATGAAGATGATGGCAAATACCTTGCAGAAGCGCAAACGGCCCACCTGGAAAATGCTCACAAATCAAGTATTGCAGTCGCAGCGCATAAATGATAATTGCCAGAAGTGCCAGCGTGAAGAAAACCGATCGAGTCGCGACGACAATTCCTCAACAATTTTTGAGCTCTCCGACAAAAAAAGTTGAAAGTCATGGCCAACTGCGGCCTTTGATAAGCAGCATCAGCTCGGGCATCGTTCGCAAAATTTTCGCCATGCGAGCTGTTCGCAGCAACCTGCTGTCATCAGACGCTAGGCCCCCAAGACACTTCAATCACCACATGCCACCCTGCACCTCAGTATCCGGAGAATGCGAAGGATTGTTGCATTCTGGAAAATGCCCACGCTGGTGCCATTGATGAAATAAACAACCTTTGTGTCATACACGTAGCAACGGAGACTCTTGAAGATCTCATTCGCATCTGAGCCCGTCACATACACACCCCACGTCTCAACGATCATAAGTGCCTGCAAACTTGAGGTGAACTCTAACTCGGGGTCCTTCATCTCACGCCCTCAAGTCAAGTTAATCCAAGGTGCCACAAGCAAGGCATCGAACATGAACCACATGTCTCTGAGACATTTCCTGCAGCTGTTCAGCGGTGGACGAAGCAGGAATTCCCCCAACTCAAAGCATCGCGTCCTTTTGTGCTTAAGTGCCAGGAATCTGATCAGCAGCTCGAACCTGCTGAAGCGGCTTCGTGGGTTGTACTCACAAGGTCTATCCGGCTGCTGAACGCATGGTCTTGGCTTCGAACGAAAACAGGACGCAAAAGAGGTTCTCAGCGACCTGCTACAGCCGGTCAGTCCAACTGCCCTTGCTCTCACATCTCTAAGAACCAATTGTCTTTGTGTTGGCACCGAGGCTGAGGTCCGAAACGTTTGTTTTCGCGGCATTAGCACGTTCCTCTAAGGCTGGAACTGTGGGACCCTAGTCTGGGTTGGTTATCCTGGGGTCCTTATCTACCTCTTATACTTCATATACTTCATAAACCTTGTAAGCCCAATTAAAAATCAAGGGCCTATAGGTAGGGGCCCACATGAGGAAGACCTTAGAACTCTGTTGTAATCGCATCCGTGCAACTGAAAAACACAACCACTGATACACAAACTGCTTTCTCTTGCGCGATCTCTATGAAAACCTGGCCCAGAAGCCCGCGTGGATCTAACGTTTACATCCCTGAAATACGCACTAAAAACTGCTGTACCGTAGAACTATCCGTATCATCCCATATGATCCAGTTTTCGTTTAAGCCTAGAACAAAATCAGGGGTTCCAGGTTGGGTTCAGATGCGTTGAAGCCAGGTCTCCAAATCGCAGTTTTAGTTGTGTAAAATCGCTGCGGGAATTAGTTGTGCCATTTGGCCGGAATCAACTGTGTGAATTGGTCGAACTTAGTTGCGCGGATCGGTCGGACTTAGTTGCGCCTGTTGTTCGGGATTGGTTGCGCAATGTTGCATGAAGCGGGCGGAATTCGGTGCATGAATCGGCTGGAATTCGTTGCGGAATTGCGTAGTTGCGTCAATGAACAGATCCTGATGGCCTGTAGCTTTGTTGCGTGAATGACGCAGGGTGCAGTCCGGCCACCTCTTATGTTGATGGAGCCCTGGTTTGGCAAGGTTCCAGCTTGGCCCCTTCGCAGTTCTTGCACACAGCGTAGTGCTTTTGCGCCGAGACTGCCACAGCTGTCAGCAAGGGTGTCAAAGCACAACCACATTCAAAGACTGTCTGCAGCACCCCCACCGAAGCAGTCCTGCCTGAAAAATGGGCAGTGCTTGCGGCAGTAGTGCTTCATCATTGAGATCTGCATCAACCGACATCCTGCTACATGGTTGACAAGTGCGAGGCTTCCTTGTTCCTCGATTGGAAAACAGGCACCAAGCTGCAATCTTGCATCAAAGGCTCCACAGGCAGTTTGCCCCGATGAGGATGAGGGTTGCGATCTACGCGGTGCTTTTTAGTGGGAAGCGACTGAACGCACCAGAATCTGATTCAAAAATGACTGCTGCGCCACTCGCCTCAAATGCCTGGCTTCTGGCAATCTTCTGAGCACAGCCGCGTGTCTTGTAGTGTCGCGCGACACCTCGGCGCAAGCAAATCCTCTGCTGCCCATATGTGGACAAGTTTCAGTCTGATCCCGCCCACCAAGCCTGCCAACCAGTCATAACAACACAAGAAGCCTCCCTGTCCATTTGAATTTCCCTTTCCACCCAATGCTGCGTTGTTTCACACAACCTCTTGCCTTTGCCCTGCAGCGTGTCCATGCCCAACAAAATCCAACAGACATTCCCAGTTGCTGAAGTCCTCCTTCTGTAAGGCTCTTCGGACTTCATCCTTGAGGGCCTTAGCTCTGCATTCGGCAAAAACCCGAACCTGCTTCTCTGCTTGCCCCTCTCGGTTCCCACTCAGTAAAACCTGAAGCTGCTAACATTCCTGAAAAACTGCGGCCGCCTCGGGGCTGCCGAAAACTTTGCCTTCCTTTTCCACCTTGGGCCGCAGTGTAACATGCATCTCAGCCAGCCGTAAGCAGCAAGTAGATCACCTGCTGGTCCAGCGGAAGATCCTGAAGTGGAATCTTTGTTGCAGCGGTTGACCCGGAGACGTCGGTATTCGACCTGCGCAAAGGCCCACCAGAACCAAACCGCCAGGGCCCCTGTGCAGCGGAGACTTCCGCCTCAAGCGGGTGACCCTCTTGGAGTTCCAGTTCTTCAAGCCTTGCAAGTCCTCGCACAAGTCAATTGAGCCTGTAATTAGTAAGTAGTCTATTCGAGGGAGCACCAACTGTATCGTGGAATATCGTGGAGACCTCGGTGATCAACTCTGAGACGGTTTTGCAGCCTGCTGACAGCAACATTATGGTAGATGTCCTTCTTCTGCTGCTCTCTCTTTTGGCGCAGCTCGAGAGTCTGCCTGAGCGGTACAGTCTCCCCAATGCGAACTTCTGACGACACTCAGCAGTTGGAAGCGAGGATGAAACTACGCCGTGCGGTGATGAGCTGATGAGGTGCACAAATAACTTTGCCTTCGCATCTGGCGGACAAGCATTCAAAGTAGCAAAATCGCAAGCCTAGCAGCAGTTGCGTTTTCTGGTGTCAGCTATTCCGCTCAAAGCGCTCGTTCCGAAACAATATGAAGTAGGATACTCCCTTGTATAGGTCTTGCAGACGCTGAAATTATGCGCCGTCCAGAAGCGGGCACAGTTGTAACTTCCATGTTTGCAGGAATTAATTAGATGTGTTTTCTTGTTTGCTTGCGGTTTTTGCTGCCTTTTCCCCGAAAAAGTTACCAAACCGCTGCTGGCCTGTCATTTTTTCCGGCCTCAGTTTCTAGCTACTGCCGCATCTGGGGGGTGTATTAAACTACTGTGTTGTAAAATATGTGCGTCCAAATCCTTGATTTCAGATGCTACAAATAGCAACTTGTGAGGCTGCGGCTTTGTGCAGGCTGCAGATGTTGTGACTCAATACTCAAGAATCACAAGTAGGATGGTTTAACAACAGCCTGCATTTGATGATGAAAACCGAAGTGAGCATCAAGATTTCTACAAGGGTTGTTCAAGGTTTAGGGATTCAGGTTTCTAGGATTCGGGGCTGCACGCGGGTAAGAGTGTGTCATAGTGTATCTTTTTTGCTGTTTGGGCGGGGCGGAGATTTGTTTTGCTGCTTGGGCGGCGGTTCTTTCTTTTGTTTGGCGGGAGTGTGTGTTTTGTTGGCTTGGGCGGGCTGGGGTGCGGGTATTGTTCTTTGCTGTATGGGCAGGAACTTTTTTGTGCTTTTTAGACACCCGAGCCACGTCCCTGCCCAAACAGCGAAGCATAACACGCCCCCGCTCAGACAGCAAAAAAACATCCCCCGCCGCGCCCCCACCCGACCTTCTGTACACCCCGCCAACGCGAGAACTCGATTGCGAGAGTTCAGTTTGGTGTCAGATCTCTATGCAGGACTTCAATTTCCTGGCGAAATCTCAGGACGTTCCATGTCAACGCTTATTTTTGTACGCAAATGCGCGAGAAAAAAAACACGTGATAGCGCACTTTGCGCGAGCGCTTCACACGAGAAAAAAAAAAGAGCACGTAAAGACACTTCACGCCAAAGCTCAGCTCTGACAAGAGAACGCTTTCATGCGTGAGCTTGAGCGCAAGTAACAGCATGTGGCAGAAGATACTGTGTCTGCTTAAAACTCTTACAAGTACTGCGGGGGTTTGCTTTTCAGACATAGCGGGGGGAGTTGTGGGGCAACTCATGTACGAAGATGGGAACGCGTAGGCTTCCACAAGCATGTTGAGCTTGCTATCAACAAATACTACTTACAAAAGAAGGGTGCTGGGGAGGGCAGCCAAAAATAGGCAAAACAAGGACGAAGATGCTTGTACCCATAGAGTTTTATTGGGAACTTTCGAGGGGATTGGCTCTGCTAGGCTGCGTACTTCTTAAAAGTTATTTTCTTCGAGCATCCCCACCCTGAAGCTCTTATTGGACAAGAAATGTAATGTCTCCTGGAAGATTGGGGAAACTCTGCGGTTGGGCACTGCAGGGATACTTGGTGGCTGGGCACTGCAGGGACACTCTGCGGCTGGGCACTGCAGGGATACTCTGCGGTTGGGCACTGCAAGGATACTCTGCGGTTGGGCACTGCAGGGATACGCTGCGTGGTTGGGCACTGCAGGAATCGGAGGGCGAGGACAAAATAGACTCTAAAATCTTACAGCGGGGGAGGATGTGCCCACTCTGCGTGGTATTTACAACAGCAGGCAGTTGGGGAGGCGCAGCACCCCCCCTTGCAGATCATGAAGGAAGATGGGAACGTGCAGACTTGTGGCAGGCTTTGACGCGTCCCGCACGCAAGGTCAGTGCTTACCATTTACATATGCCACTAGCAAAAACGGGGGTTTAGTGGCTGCCTCCACTTAACCAAGCATGGATATGTCTAAATACAGTATAGGCTGCTTTAGAAGCTGTCGAGGTTATTTGCTAGGATTTGTGTTTGTTCTCAAATCGGCACGGTCGCCAATTTGCAAAAACAAGGACCACCAGAGTTAGTGGCTCATGGTAGGCTTGGGAAACAAGAAGTTTAAGGACGCTTACACGAAAGCACGGTCAAAAAATGCAAGGACACTTATGCAAGAGCGTCATTTTGTTTGAAGATGTAAGCACACTCGACGCCAGACGCTCCAGGCGAAACCTCGATTTGAAGCGAATATGCAAGCAAGCTCCACGCGAGAGAGCAAGTCTGGCTGAAAATTCAAGAACACTCTTCGCAAGAGCGCGATTCTGCATTTTGAACGTCACACGCCAAAGCCCGATTTCTGTAGAAATGCCCCACTGGGTGCATGCTTACCTTGCTGCTAGGGCGAGGGACCGGGCATCTTCTTTTGCTGTCTGGGCAGGGTGGCCAGGGGGTTCTTGTTTTTGCTGTTGGGGCGGGCGTGTTTTGCTCTTGGGGCAGGGCGCGTCGTTTTGTTGTTTGGCGTGGTGCACGTGCTTTTTTGTTTGGGCGTGATGCGGGGGGTTGGTTTTTTGTTGGGGTGGGGGATGTGCGCGTGTTTTGTTTGCTGTTGGGGCGGACAACGGGAGTTCACATACTCACCACCTGCCTGCGATCGCCTTGGATGGCCCAACAACAGAAAGAAAAAAACGCACACACAAAACACCGGCTGGTTGGGATAAGGTTTGGAGCTTGCTTAGGGTGAAGGGCTTCAGGTTGCTTGCTACAGCATCTGGGCCTCGTAGGGGCTGCAAGTATTCTGAATTGCAACCATTGCAAGGCCCTGGGGCCTGCAGGGCCCTGCCAGTGGTGTAAAGTACATTATGCCCAGCTGAGCGAGGAATCCCTGGTTTCAGATGCTACAAATTACAGCTTTGAGGGCTTTATGCATGCTGCAGATGCTGTGACTTAATGTCAAAATCATAATGATTCCCGGATAGGTGCTACAAACCCGAACTGGATAAAATGGAGTAAGCATCAGAACTTCTATATGGGTTGTCGAGGGTTTGGGGTCTGGGGTTCATAGATCCTACTCCCCAGTACTACAACCCACAACCAAAGTACATAATCCCTAAGGATTCTACATGCTGTTGGTTCCTCTGCTTTCGTTTGCGCACCACCGGCTGGGCTCAGAAAACAGCACTGTAAGCGCTTAAGATCATCCCGGCATCCCTCTTCTGTTATTTCTGTAAGAAAACTCCCACGATCCCAATGGTGAGGGGATTCACTTTCGTGACAATGCATAACTCACTTTTGCCCGTCCGCCAGTTAATGTGCCGGCTAATATTTCGTACAAAAATCGCTTATGCCCTGGGATTGTGTAGGGTTTTCTGTTTGGGGCTCTTTGGAGTTTAGGCGTTGGGGGTGTTTCAGGTTTGGGCTCATTTTCGAGTTAAGGGTGTAGGGCTTTGGGGCTCGTTAGGGTTTAGCGTTTGGTTTTGTCTGCAGTTGTGTAGGGCTTAGGGTGTGGGGTTTGGGGTTCAGGTTTTCAGGTTGTTTAAGCTTCAGGGTTCAGGCTGTTTAGCGCTAAGGGTCTGAGGTTCTTTCGGATGCAGGGTTCTTTCAGGATTGAGCTTTGGGGCTGTTTAGAGTTTAGGATTGTTTTGGGTCGAAGGTTGTTGAGCGCTGCTTAGGGTTTAGGGTTTGAGGTTCTGTCGGGCTTGGGGTTGCTTAGTGTTTGGGCCTTGAGGTTGCTTCGGACTTGAGGTTGCTCAGGGTACAGGCCTTCGGGTCGTTTAGAGTTTAGGGGCTGGGGCTGTTTAGTTTTTAGGGTTGTTTAGGGTTTAGGGGTTAGGGTTCTCTCAAGGTTTAGGTCTTCAAGGGCCGCTGCTCTGAATAAGGTTGCTTAGGTTTAAGTAAGGCTTTGGGGCTCATGAGGGTTCGGGGGTTGTTTTGTGCCGCTGCCGTTTGCACTATCTTGCGCGCATTGGTGCCGCTGCTAGGGTTCAGGGTTTGGAGCTGTTTAGGTTGTGTTTTTGCACGCCCCTTTTACCCGCAGAGCTGGCAAAGGCCTAAGGCCAGCCTTGTCCTTGTGCAATCAACGCATGCTTCTGTAACTTAGGCTGGGCCTGGAAAGCACTCAACACATCTTGGCCCAAATCCATTCGGTTTAGCGTTCAGGGTTTGAGGTTGTTTCGGTTTTTGGGATTGTTGAAGGTTAAAGAGTTTCGAGTTTCGAAGTTGTTCGGCGAGAAGCTGGGGAGTTACGACAATGCCGCATCCGAGGCCTCACAAACGAGGACAGTTACAAGGATCGGCTGGACACTCACCATCCTCCTGACTGTTCGTACTTTTCAGAGGCCGGGGGGATGCTGCCCACACTTCGCCACGTGCTAGGAGAAATATCACCAAAAAAAAACTAAGCAAAAGCAAATGCAACTGGTGCAGCTACCTGCGCAGCCCAGTCACGAACGACATACACACGACTGGCCGCGACTCAGCTAGGCTATGCTGTCTCAGTGCAGAGGCCCCAAAATCTGTGTCAGGCTCTTTGTTGTGATTTGTACAGTGCTCTCACAGCCCAATCGTGGTGCCAAAGCTGAGAGGAGGACTCTGTGATGTCAACAAAGTGATTGTTGTTTGAGCCCGGTGTCCCTGGTCTGGCCTTGAATCGGCAATGCTTAGGTGCCACATTTTTTCCACAGAGAACACCGAGTGCTTGACACCCATTCCAGCGGTTGGGGAAACTTGAAGAGCATGCTCCAGGTCGCCCATCTGCAATACGGGTATGCAATACGGGTATGCAATACGGGTATGCAATACGAGTATGCCACACGGGCATGCCGAGCATGTATGCACTGTATGCGTCACCCATGCATCATCTGGCAACAACGTTGCGGAACGAATCGTGCTCTTGGACCCTCCAGCCTGACTGGTAGATGACTTCCGGCGCTGCTGCAGCCTGCATATTAGTCTTAACTTGATCAGACATCACAACAAATATTGCACTAAAAGAGATGTAAAGGAGTATATCACGACCGATGATCAACTCCTAGACAAGCTGCACATCCAAGCAGACCAGCTCCCCAGCTCCCAGCCGCCTCTTCATTTGAACACTGGCTCTTCTTGCGCGCTGCTTGGAGCCGTTCGTCTCCCCAAGAACACCACTCAACTCGGCAGCACCCGGGAGATTTAACCTTATAGTTTGAAAAGGCACGTCTGTATCTTCAAGATCTCATGTGAGGCTGCAACCCTTGTGTCAAATCATCAAGGTCTTGCAGCGGAATTTGGTTAGCCTTCCCATTCCAGTAGACACTCTGAAAAAGCAGGGATGTTGCAAGGCTTTTGCAACCAGCTCGTGCCTGTAACTTTTCGCGGAGAAGCTGATTCCTGACCATAGCATCATTCTTGCCATCAGTCTGCCGTATAACCCCGTCTGCACCCATGGTAACTGCCAGGCGTCTGATTTTGCACGGCTTCCACCTCTGCCATGACCTGCGACACCTTACATGATGATCACAAGATCCGAACGTCATGAACTAGTTCTGCCAAACCAAACAGTTAGAGTCCAAAAGCGCTGAGAGCACTATGAGAGCCTTCCGAAGCTCCTGCTCAGGCCAGCACTAAACTGGACATCCTTGCTGTCAAGCGCTGCGCAACTTCTTGGTTCTCGTCCAAGAACTTCTGCCTGGGGTTGTTTTCCAAGCATAGTTGACCTACCTTCTGAAAGATTGGCTTTGGGATCCTGACACATCGACTAGGTCCCCGAGAGAAGCTATTGCAGGACCTGAGATGCATCCAGAACCAGCCAGTAATCCCAAACACGGCTGCTCCACAGCAGACTCGTCACCGAAACTGGACGAGCCCAGCCGTCTTGTTTCAAGTGACGGAAGGCAAACAACTGCCATCAGTGTCGTGCTTCAACACTGTGTCAAAGGCTGTTTTTCTATTGCTGCGGCGCTCAAACACCCCTGAATTGGCTCTTCACCAGCAGCCTTGAAGACTCCAGCCACCACTGCTTGGATGGCTTAGGCAAGGCTCTACGTCGAGGCCTGTCTGGCCAGAAATTGCTTGCCGGTTGCTATCAAGAAATGAGATAAATGGAAAGAAAAGCAAGGCTACTGTAGCTTTAGGGTTCAGGGTTGGAACATGAAATCAAATGGAAGAGCAACTGGAAAATGAAATGCAAACTGCGGGCTCATAGGAATGTTTAGTGTTTAGGGCTATCTTGGTGCTGTTTGTAGGGAATGAAGAAACGAAAAGGGAAATGGAAACCACTGAATCATCTCGTAATCCAGGATTGTAGATCAGATACTATACGGATGCACATCTCCATTGCCTGCTACGACCCGGTATGTTTGGGGTTCATGGGGCTTCGGGTTGTGCTCTCAACTTTTTTTCTAGAACCTTTTTCCACCAGCCGAAGTTGATGAAATGCGAAGCTGGCAAGGCCACGGCCCCAAGTATGCTGTTCTTGCACCCTCGGCTCGCTGGGATCTAGGGTTAGTAGGTGCAGGTGGTGGATACACAGACACACAAATGGATAGTTTTCTATCATAAAAAGAAGACAAAACAACCTTCACTGATCATGTAAGTTTTCCCCTGTGGCATCAAGACCAAATATTTTACATCAGGGACTAACGTATTAAAATTCAACAGTAAATGCAGAATTATTAGAAGGAGTTTGATTTAGTAATCAGTTTGGAGCAGGGGCAGACAGAGATGTAGCAACCTTGAAAAACCAGACTAACTATATAACTTTAAAGGTAATAAAAATTAATGCGTATACTACAAGTGATTCTAGTGTAGCAGAATTAGAATTGAATAGCAACGGTCAATGTAATTTGGATGATTTGAGAATTACTGATAATTTCTTTTGGTATGCTGATATGACAGTTTCATCATGAGGTTTTCATTTGGTCTGCATTTGTGCCGGGATGCGTTCAATCTGAATGCACCTATATATAATTCGACAAACCTTTTTCTGTTGAACCAGGTCCAGCAAATCCTTTTCCTCCAGAATACGATCAGGTGGACCACAACAAACGACTGAAAAGTCCCTGAACCTGTGGGACGGGACCATTTGTGCCATAACCACGTCAGATCAAGAGCTCTGGTGCAGACTCCGGGCTGCTCGGATCAATTGAAACGCAAGCTTCAAGCCCGGAATGTCGCACCCCCTTCAGTATAGGGGCTTGGAATAATGAAATCTTCCGGGAAATTTATCCAGAATGTGCTATTGTTTGGGGTGTTCTTTATAACAGAAATTTTTTGTGCCAAAATACAAAAATTCAAATTTCTTACCTAACTCAAATTTGCCTTCAAGCCCTTAAAGGATTTCTAATTCCAGAGCTCTAGCACCAGAGCCTTTACCTATCAGGCCTGATAGTAGAAAATCCGAAAATCCGTAAACTCAGAGCAACCAGATCCATATAAACCGCTTTTTCGCGATTATTAGAAATCACAGGGTCCGTCAATTTCTGTGGGAAGTAGTCCAACAGAGCCCCGGATCCTCAATAAGGAAATGTCTTGCGGGTTCGAAATTTTAATTCACTCCGCCAGCTGCCCAGAATTTCCGGAAATTAAAAGGCTTTATATGACTTAAAAGGCCCAGAGCCTTTCGCCATGAGGCCAAATACTAGCAAATGCATGAATTTGTGAACCCCACGAAATCTGGTTTCAATGGTTTAATTAGATTTTACTTGCACGAAATTAGATTCTTATGAGGTTTGAATAGGTTTCCAATCGGCGTAATAGGGTGTTAATTGAATACGCACACTAATACGAAACAGAATACCAGCTTCAAGGCTACTACCGAGGTTCATGTATTTATCGATGTCAATTGCGCGGTAAACTTGGGTTTGGGGGAGGGGGGGGGCCGCCGCGATTAAAGGGAATCGTCAATTGTTCGCGGGGGAGGGGGAGGGGGCGGGGCGTCTATACTAAAGGAGGTGCCACATTAAGTCTCGAACACAGATCTAGAGAGTGCAAGTGCAACATGTATTGAAGCACCATCGATTTTGCATGAATGCAGGGGTGCATAAGGTTGAAAAGGACCCTGTTCCAGCAGAGTTTACATGCATTCACAGGCCCACTGTCCAACAGATGCAAACACCAGAGATCAAAGCCCTTTCCTGCTGCTTGCCACAAAAACAATGGCACGGCCAAGGTTTGTTTTTTTTGGATGCCTGAAGCCATGCAAGCCTAGGGCCCCCAGCCACCAGTTGTGCCTTTGCTTGCTGGAAGCTGACTGATCTCCTCTAAAAAAATTGCATGTTGCAACAGTCTGGTCAACACAGTGATTCTGGACAAATACACCATGTCCTGCACGAGGTCATCCACCTGGCATGCAAAAGGCTCCCAGGAGATGCCGTTCAAACTCTTGCCAAATGCCTCGTCTCTCGGAGTGGCAGCCATCACGTACACAAAGTTTCAGGTTATGACAAGATTGCTGCTGGTTTGATTCGTTGACACTTGTTTGAATTTTACCATTTTCACTAACGGCAAGCTTGAGCAGCAATGTGAACATCCGTTCTCGATGCCAATGCAACCGCTTCGAAAAAAGTCAGAGATATCACGCTGAGCACGTCCTTTGAAGCCGCTATGCAATCGTGGTGAAACTTGAGAAAATATGAAAACAGAGTGCCAGCGAAAATAAAATCACCACTTGAAGGCACACAATATCCGCTACTAGGGTCTGAAAGGCCAGGGCTAGCATGTTGTTCCAACCATCCTTTGGAGGTCAGGGAGGACTGGCCCACGCTGTTTCTTGGAATGAACCTGGGATCGGACAAAAACACGAATTGAACCTGCACCTTGTCATGCAGCACCAGATTTTCTGATGCCAGCAAGTTGAGCCAGTTCCTTAGTTCACACCAAATGTCAATTTGTACGCAGCCATCCAAACAAAGGCAAGCTAAGGTTGCATCCCACAATGTTCTGCTACCATTGTGGACACCAGACAGACCTGACAAAGAACATGAGCACACTTGACAAACAAGGACATGTTGTTCATCATATGCTGCTGCATGAGCTCGGGATGATTCCTGAGGTGTGATTCGCGAAGAGCTTAATCTTTTCACCAAAGTCCTTGCACATACAATGCTGCCAAATGCAGGAATCTGATATGGCATAGCCGCAACAAGCTGTTCAGAAAGGGAGCTGCCGTGCTGTCTCCAAATCGAGCAGTAGCTTCCAGGCCCGAGGATGCGAGCGTGTCTCCCAAGTCCGGCCTTGCAGGATCTCGCACGTGGCCGCAGAAAAAGGCTGGAGAAAAAACAAATAGGGAGCCCCGACCGTAGACGTCGGTGCTTCAGAGGCGAAAGCGAGCTGCTCTTGGCTCCAGGAATTCTGGAGCCGGAGGCCTGCCTTCAAGTGCAAGCTTTGAGGTTACGTGCGGATACGTGATTTTGCCTTTGCCTCTCATTGAAGCACCGCAAACTTTGGGATCGTCCAAGACCGGAGGCATCACCAGGTGGAGTGGGGGACGTGCATGCCTGCCTCTATCAAAACTCAGATCGTGCTCACTGCAGCAGCTTACAATGACGCAACAGGAGACCTTCTGGGCGGCATCGGCTTGTGGATTGGGGGTGGAGGCTGCACACGGACAGAGCTTGATGATGGTGGGGGCGTTCCAACTGGAGACACATTTCCTCAGCTACCAGCGCTGACTGTTATTTATTTGCCGCCACACTGCCAAACAAGCTTCTGCTGACGCTGCCCCTGCGCATCAGAATAGAAGGAAGATGCTGACCTCGGTCTTAGATGTCAGGTAATATTAGTACAAAGCTAGATGCAAACGAATGCCACCGGTTGAATCTGTGCCAAAAGGCCGCCGGACAGCTCGGCAAGGGAGTTCTGGATCTCCGCCCTTGCAAACCCGAGCGACGCAGCAACCGAACCTTCATGCTTCTAGAGGTCCTAGAACGTGTCAGAGCTTGGGAAGTGCAGCAGCAGCAGCAGCGGCAGCAGCGGCAGCAGCGGCAGCAGCGGCAGCAGCGGCAGCAGCGGCAGCAGCGGCAGCGGCGGCAGCGGCGGCAGCGGCAGCCCCGGCAGCAGGTGCAAGACAGCAAGAGTCAGCGGCATCAGCAGCACTGGCTGTGCATGCACACTGACCATTGGTTCAAATACCAAGATTGAAGCGCATCTTCCACAGCAGCATAATCCAGAATCTGCATGGCCCAACCGTCCATCTTATGATTGCGCGGCTTCATCTAGAAGTCAATTGCACTAATGATAGGGAGTGACACTACTCCAGGCAGAATGCTGGAAGGCTAGAGTCTCCGGAACGGCATGGCGCGCCAATGCAACGGAAAAACCAAAATGGAGTCAAAGCTGCTGCAGATCAAGTAGGTCTGCGCAATCGGGCACGATCTGAAGGCCGGCATCCAACTCCTTTTTGGCGTCTGCTAGGCGACCCTCCTGAAGTGTGTCAGGTTGTGCCACGCAGCTTCATCCAATGCAGCCGCTGTCCTTCCACAAGGCTTTCGCAAGAAGGAACCATCCCTTCTTGAAGTCAGGCTTCAGCCGAATCACTTCTTTAGCATCCTCCTGCTTGGCGTTGCATGGTGCAACATGCAGAGATGCGGACAGACAGTAAGCCACTGGGGTTCGGGTCACAGCAGCCATGGGTGCTCCCAATCACCCTCTATCAAACCGTTCGTCAGCTGAACTCCGGACACAATGCACGAAGAGCACCGGAGAAGAATAGCAAAGGCAGAAGGCAAAACTAGCAAACCGATTCCACTCAGGTTCACAAACGAAGCGCTGAAACACACATGAGTAACACAACATACCTGTCATATCACGTCTGACAAAAAACAGAAGCGGCGCGGCAAACAAGCACCATCAACAGTCTCATTTTAGCAGTATGTACTGTTGGCACTCTTGGGGAAGACTAGCCACACGAGAGATGGGGGCTGATGGGTTGAAGCCAGGCATTGCTTGAATCCGGGCTGCTGCTCCTGGCATCTTCCCCACATCTTCAAAGCAGCAAAGCACAACGCTCTGTTGTTGTACAGGCGGTGATCACCTGGAGCAGCCTCCAAGCCTGACACAGCAAGCTTAAAACTTGCATGAAGATGGCTTGGAACACCGGCACATGAACTCTTCACCAGCTGGGATGCCTTGAGAATAAGCCTCAATCGCTGCTTGATACTTCTCCAAGGCTTGCTTTGCCCAGTCCAAACCTGGTATACTAGCACGCAAAGGATGGTAAGCGAAACTTGCAAAACACCGTTCTTGTCAAAGCACCTTCTCCAACGCCGAAGGTCATACCATTTTCATGGGCATCACTGTGCTTTTGAGCAAGAAGGCATGCCGCTCTGTAGAGCTCGTTTCCAGAGCGGCGGCACTCATCTGCGGCAGAAACTGGCTCCTCCATCCTGCTCTGCCATATACGATCATACTGTTCTCGCCGCTGCTCATCTTGAAGTATCTCCCATGCTTGATTCCTGGCTTCAGGGGCAGATCTTTGTGCCCAAAACATGTCCCTTGTTTTTTGCAGCAGGGGCTCAGAGATGCGGTAATCTTCTTGCCGCGACCTTCCTTGCTGTTCGGTCTCTTGTCCGGGTGATACTCGCGCAACTGCTCGTGGTATGCACGTTTTAATTCCTCAGCTGGAAAGCTCGGCTGCATGCAACCACAAAACGATCGAAGTTGGAGGCAGCTGTGGCGGACGCAAGCCCGTGATGGCATAAATGCTCAAAACAATCGGGGCTCTGCATGCGAAGATTTCGGGGAACAGCCCAACCTTGACACATCTCTCAGTCGTGACAGACACTGTAAGACTGTAAGAGCCATCAACTTATCAGCACCAAGGCATCACAGGACATTCTCCCGTGCTGCATCTAAGGTTTGAACACGGCATAGTGATCCACAAAATCTGGAGTCTGGGCCATGTAGCATTCCCAGCATTGCAGAACTAATGAACTAGGAACAACAATCGCCCGTGCCGTGACAGTTATATGAAGGCTCCATTTTAAACTAGGCAATCAGTTTGCATGAATGACAGCATTTCCATACATTTCTGGCGAATACACTGGGTGCAGCTCGAAAGCTAGCGGCCTGTCAACGGCTTTAATTGCCGGCTCTGTTTGATACGAGTTCGTGTTGAGAGAGCCATTCTCGCTTGCATGCCTTGGACCACCTTGAACTTGAACCCCTTGGCGGCCACTTTTTTTTAGCAGGGACGTCCTTTGCTTGCAATGAGAGACAAGACAGCAATACCAGCAACAGCTTTTTTTGCGCCTGGTTCAGATGGGGCCTTGCATCCGTTTGCTCTCGCGGCAAGCAGCTGCTGCAGCCGAGGCAGCCTGATCAGGATGAATGCAAAGCCCATGCCGGAAAAGTGCATCTGCCATGATTACCCCATTACCCTCCACTGGCAGTCAAATGCGCCTGAGCAGCCGATGCCAACATTACAGCAGAAGCTCCTCACTCCAAAGCGCACGCCGTCACCACGAACGACGAACTGCAGGCCACTATGCCAGACGCTTTGTGAATGCGACCCGGCCACCCTGCCACACGTTCGGGCTGCTTCAGTTGAATTGGCACCCAGTTGCTTTTGCTGTCAGAACCGGTCTGTAGAGTCATGCGTCCAGCAATACGCTATACGTCTAGCAACCCTGCAAATAAGGATGGGCGATTTCAGAAAGTCAGCCTCGTCAGCAAATTCAAACACAAACACGTGTGTGCCGAGGCAATCAACCCACAAGCTTGTCCTGCTTGCTGATGCCGAATTTTTGCCGGTACTGGAGCATGATCCAACACTTCCTGAGGTGGCTGCTGCATCCCTCTTGCTTCGGCTGCACCATCTGCTGAACGGTAAATGTCTGCCATCCTCGTGCACAACACCTACACCAATTTCAGAAGAGTCTCTGGGTTTGTCGAGTTCGGGTCAGGTAAACGGAACGATGTTGCCAACTGGCAGGTGACAAAAGAAATTGCATATGAGCATGCTCACATGCCGACCCCCACTACTGCACCTCTCGCTGCAACACATCCTCCACGCCTAGGCTCATCCATTCCACAACAACATTCCCAAAATGAAGCCATGCGCTCAGATCAGGACGGTTGCGCCGCTGGTGATACAAAAAATCGTTCATTGTCTTGGCTCGCAAATAGTCAAGAACTCTCAAAAACCATAGGAAGATTTGGAAAATGAAGCTACAAATGAATCAGTGGCGGCTGATATCGCCTGTCCAAACAGATGGACACAGACATGATCGGCGGAGATAAAGATCATGGTGAAAAACTGGAACTGAGAGCGGAAAAAACGCCAGGTAAGTAAGTAGGTACTGGAGGTATCGGCCTGCGAGGGCCTTCCGCGCCCAGCATGTCTGGGGGTCTGCGTGGGGGGCTCGGGAGATGGCCCAAGTTGGGGCAGAGCCTCAGAATGTCCACTTACACCAGAGATGGGCTGGGCAACACAAAAGGGAGCCAAAAATCGCCCAAGGATGGCTCAACGCTCTGAATACCTCCAGCTGCCTCATCACGGCACATCCATTTTGTCGTTGGGCTGCGCCACCTGATCCTCCACCATGCCTTCATCAGCAGCCACATGAGTCAGGTGGGTATGGAGCCTTGCAGGCTAGGCTGGCTAGGCTGGCTAGGCCGGCTAGGCATCTCCATGGCTGGCTGACATTTTAGCCTGCCCATAAACCTGATTTTGACAAAAGCTTATTAATGTCGCCTTTTGCAAAAATCATGGGATTTTTGTTTGGTTAAAAATAATCGGAATTTTGAAAACTGTTCTTGAGAAGGTATGCGTAAATTTGGAACAGATGTTGTTTTGTGCGTCTGTTGCTTCAAAATGTTCTACATTTTTGAAATGAATTTGATGAAGAAGAAAACGTGCCTTACACTCTTTTTCGTGCTGCAGGGCAAGGCTTTCGCCTCTGCGGGCTAGCGTTTTGGCTTGCCAAATGCACCTGCCCAAACCCAACTCGATCCAACCCAATCCTAAGCCAGCTTCAGTACCGTGCGTGTGGCCATCTGAGGGATGCTGTTTGGGTGGCCTAATCTTTTGACTGCTAGGGCAAGGATTCATGACCGGACACAGGTGAGCACTCGCATTGCAGGCAGTATTATTGTGGATTGGCGGACGTGGTGAGTAATTAACAAGGAGACGACCAAGGAGCCAACAAGCATGATGACATTGACAATGACAATGAGAAGGGGGGGGAAGTGCATGCTGCTGATGGTGACTATGATGGACGCTGCGAGCTGTTTAAACTTGACCCCTCAAAAATGTTAGGGCCTCATCGAGCATTCTATGTCGAGCATGCCCTTTTGCAGCCCTTTGCAGGACGCACATGTTCCTGCGAAACTGCCCCCGCCCCACTCCACCCTTGATGGAACCAGCGCTTCATAGTTTTCTGTACTCTGGGTAGCTTTGCCTTCTTGTCATGTTCCATGCGAAGCAGCCAGAACCAGATGCCATGCAGCAACGTAATCCAAATCAGAGCAGAGGCCCCAGCATCTCTCAATGGGGATCCAACAAGAAAGGCTCGCAGAAAGTCTTCATTGTCCTGCCAACAATAGATTTTTGCAACCGGTTGGTCCATGCAAGTTGGTCCATGCAAGTCTCCGTCAGGTGTCATGTGCCTGAGGGGCGTCTCTCCAAACTGCTCCACAGCTCAACACCTTGAAAGCTTTTGCATTTGATTGCTCATGGGCTGCAACTAGGTTGCTCTTGAATACGCTTATACTAGCCTGGCAGACCTGCGAATCAAAATTTTAGCGTTCCTCCTCACACCCTTCTATATAACTCGAAATTGCAGGGTCCTCATTGAAACAAGACCGGGTGTCAGGCCCAGCAAGAAAGACACGACCCACAGGGCTAAAGGTGTTGTTTCAACCCGACTGCCAAATTCAAAGAATTACGACTGAGCCCAAGTCGAATAGAACAAACTGATGTTACTTTAAACGAGGTTCCAGGTCTCTAATCCAGGATCAGTCAGCCCAGTATTGGTACAAGAACAGCTTCACACCTGGTGCCTGACTGAAATGTGAAACTCGAGATCATGCCAGATCTCAGACAACAAACACTGAGTAGCCGGCACTCAGCCCAGAATGCTGCTTGAAATCATCCTTCGAGATCATGACACAAAGTCTACGCTTCGACAGCCATCTCTATGATCTACAAATGCCTGAGGTATGGTCATGACCTTGTGCGCGGAAGCGACCTGAAACGTTTCCAGGCCATCTACATATTTGCTTGCTGAACTCAAGATTTTGAAGTGCGAAGTAGCGGGCGTGGCAGGTGGGAGACACAGGGGTGTCACGGTGCAAGACCTGCGGCAAAGTGGAGAAGCTGGAGACGTGCCAAACATTGAGCCCTAGCCTGGTACATAAGGAGAGCGGCAAAACGCTCTGCTTCAGAGGCTTCACAACAAAACCTGAGACTCAGTGCATTGAAGATTTTAGATCTTCTGCAACACTTTGACACTGTATTTCCTTTCAGGTTCGCCATACTTGAGCTGTAGACCAGCGACCATCCACTTCACAGACGTTGAGCTCAATCTACAGAGGATGCTTGCGGGGAGTCTTCTTGTGGGTTCTCCTCAGCCTGCTCCGGCTGCGCAACGCCCGTTTGCAGCCGATGGAGCCAAGAAAACCTGCCACTTTTGCCCACGCAGCATATACTCTGGAATTCAGCAAAGCACGCCACAAAGAATGCTCAAGTCGTATCTGCGCTCCATGAGTGAAATTATGGACTCACCCGAATGTGTGCACCTAAGCAAGTGCAGCCAGGCCACAAGCCCTCCCTGACTGCCTCGAAAACAACAAAAGCACAAGCCCACAGCGAATCACAGCGATGCCAGGTGCGGCATGGCCTCCCAGCCTGGAGTGGAGTTCAAAGATATTCCAGGACCCCACCTGCTCAAATCGTGAAGGAAAACATCACACAGTCCATCTTGCAGTTTTGCCTCAATGCCAGAACCGGAATCCTCACTGACGTTGTACTTGAAAGAAGGACTGGACCCCTGGCCTCACCATGAAAATACGCTATTAAAGTACATCAAATGGATGGGCTGAGCTGGAAACCAACTTCATGGCTGGGCTGTGGGGATCCTTTGTGAATTGTGCTGCGACAACAGCAACCGGCATCAGGGACCGGACCTCAAGGCAACAACCCAACAAATGATCAGCACAAGAGTGCAGCAGGCCTCGGACAACATTGCCTCTTGCGTTCCGGCAGCCTGAGGACATGCTTTAGGCAATGGCGGGCTCTGGTCACATGTTGTCACATGCCATGCCTCGCCTGTCGCGAAGCTATGAGCTCATGGTGCTTTGCCTATGCACGTGACGCATGCAGGCGGCGCGAAATGCAAAGCATGTGAAGCGTGCTGCCTCCAGCATCTGCTGCGATCGGCGCTTTTCTTCAAGGGCTTGCATAGACAGAATCTCCAGCTGCTCACGCTGATCCTCGTCCACCCGCCTGTCGTTTGAATGCCAACAGCTCCCTCTACTACCGCATCTGAAGAATCTGCATGTTGCATTTCAGGGCCTCAGGGCGGCTTTGAGTTTTGCTTTTTCCTGAACCACACTAGGCCATCACAACGCCCATCACAAGAACCTGTTTCTTTGCACACAAAAGAACTCCGTGCATTCTCGCTGCCTGGCCCAGAGTCTCTGCCGAGAGGTTAGATCCTGCAGCCCGTAAGCGCTCTGCCTGGAATTCCACGACTTCTTAAATGCGTTACACTATGTTACACTGCCATGTTTCAAGAGTCGTCCAATGCCTCCAACTCTTGTGTGTGCTGGCGCTGCTGGGAACCTAGAACCTTTGCTGTCACAAATGACAAACTAACTGACCTGCTTCAAGTTCGATTGCCTGAAGCTCAATGCGAAGTCGTCGGATCTCCTCTTGCTGTGCAAGCACCTGAAGAGGAGCGCTGGAAGGAAGCTTTATGGCATGTGGTTTTCGGCAGGCCTCTGCCCGGCTCTTCCTGGATCCACATGGTAACAAGTTCTCATACTTGCCGTGCTGAGCAACTGAGACGGAGATATGGGATGATTGAAGGCCAAATTCCTCTGAGGATCTGAAGATCTCCATGCAATCTTTGCACATCGACCTTCAAAACAAGCAAAGAAAACTTGTGCGCCTGGCGTCAGCGAATCGCTGCCTGTAAGGACTCGGAGTTCTTCTGCGCGACGAGCGTTGAAGCCTGGCTTCGGTGCATGGGAAGCACGCCAAGAGGCAGATTGCCGATTTGGCATACTACGAACCTACTCTGTCCCCCAAATTTTCAAATTCCGCATCGAAAGCTTCGCCTCATAAGAACATGTGCGACCTCAGCATAGCCGTACGCGCTGACGAGCTTACTCTCGCGTGCATTTGATTGAACCCAATCTGCTGCCTTTGCATCTTGAATGGCAGAACAAAAGTGAAGCGATACAGGCCACCACATGACATACAAACATCCACTCAATTACAAGCACCTGCTGCTGCTTCGTGAGGTCCAGCATTCGTGCCTGATCTTTGAAGTTGGTTTACTCCACAACTTGTCGAAAGTTTTTGCTGTTGTTACGAACAATCACGCATACAAGAAAAAGCAACTTTGCCTGAAGGACATCTGCGCGGATGCGCCTGAAGACAGCGTACCCCAACAAACGTTCAGCGCTGCTTGAACCTGTCAACACTCCAAGCATTTGGCTGGCCATCAGCTGCTTGCCTCTTCAGAAAGCAAAAATTGTCCAAACAGATTCCTCTACAAAGTTCATTGCCTGGCTGCGGCATGTGCAAAATTGACCTGGATCCACGTGCATACTGACAGCGAGTTTATGCCTTGAGGCATGCTCAACATAGCAGGCTGCCTGCGTCAGCTGCTTCTGGAACTGTTCACATACAGCCCTCCAATGCTGACAAGAATCCTGAAACGCACCAGATTGCACAATGACAACTACCAACTTTGAAGAGTTGCGCCTCCAAAGCAGCAAGCTTACCGGTCAACTCGCCAATGTGTCGAAGCCTGGGTGAACTCTGCTTCTGATACGCGGCACGTGGTGCAATGAGAACATGCTCAGAAAGACACAACGACCTCAACTGCTGGCCTGACATCATGAGCTGTCAATGTCCCAATAATGAATTCCCACATATTGGAAGCCTCCGGCATTCTGCGCTAGATCAGCAACGCCCACCAAAGCAGCATAGTGGGGCCGCAGGACCTCGTCACTTACAAAAAGGTAACCCCCGGCTTCAGCACGTTTTCATGGTTCATGAACCAAACCTGCACGGCATCCGGACCCACTTCTGCCAACAGCAGTGCCTCACTGATGGACGATGTATGCATACATCACGGAAGAACTTTGCTGCAAAATCGCTTGGTTTTTCAGGAGCGGCTACTACGAAACTTCAGGCAATCAAGACCGGTGAGATGGTCCTCAGCTGCTGCAGCATCAAGTGGCATCAGCACCCAGCAGACCTCATGAATCAACTAGCAGTTCAATCGCGCATCGGACTTTTTGCTTAACAAAACCTACCTGCACCATCAGCTGCACAATATGGTAAACTAGCACAAGCCTGAGGCAATGTCATTCCAGGATCGATATCGTCATGGACACGCATCATGCCCCATCCTCGCTCCCCATTTTGCCTTGTTGTCGTTCGACATGCACTCAATATTTTGTCTCTCGTCATGTGTGATCTCACCCTCAATCCACCTTCACAATTTTGACATGCATCACATCGAGCTTTGAGTTGCTCGGCTATGAGCACTTCATTTACTTCCTCATCTTTTGCGCGTTTGCTTCAGCTATGCTGCTGTCACCGAAACCAAAAAGTATTGGAAACCTCATTCAGGGAAATAACTCGTAAATTGCCATGTCTCATCAACCATCTGTTTTCTTCAGTCCTTATTACCGCTGCTTTGTGAAAAATCAAACAGGATATCTTGTTCTGATTCAATGTTTGTAACTGTTTGAAGTACGTTGTCGCGAATCTAGTTGAAATGCGCCCATCCCGGTTCGCTGGTTGCATACGGAATTGTTTTTCCTAAGTAGGATCCTCGTTCGAGCCGCGCGGATTGAGCAATTCACCCATGCAAAACCCAAGAGCACGTCCATTTTCATAAGCATTGACTTGGCATTGACCGCTTCTTCTTTGTCTTTACTCCGAAAATGTGCCAAAGACTGCCCTCCTTCGGCCTGACACGAGATTCCTCCTTTGAAAATTGCTAAGGGCGAAAACGGGCACATCAGCGTTTAGCGAATCGCTGTAATAATCGGAACCGGCATTGAAGATGAGTGCAACAAGTCTCAATACTGCTTGAAGCTGTTCTTGCGCGACAAATTTGGCGAAGACCTGGCATGTAGCAGCCTGCGTACTGCAAGAAAAACATAAACCCGTGATACCTCAAGGCTTGCAAGCCCCAGCAGAAAATGCGCTACCCTGGAGGCCATTGCGAGGTTCGCCATGCTGCGGCAACATTTATTTGCAAGAGAGAAAACATCGCGTGCTCCTGGCTTAGCAGGCTAACGGCAAAAGACTCAGCATTTGCGTTGGATGACATTAAATAGCCTTGAGTTTCCTCACGGGCACATGCACAGGCGACACCGGCCTGTAATTGCTGGCAATGACACTGACTGAGCAGGGCGGCACCTCCAAACGCTTTGGGGATACAAATATACCCTGAACTGCACTGGGACTGGCATTCACGGGTGATCCTGTCTGCATGGCATGTGGCACCCTATGATCTGTGGACCCTATAGTCACTGCTTGGGATGCTGCAACATCGAGTGCGGCAAATAGCAGGTGCAGCAAACATGCTTACCCTTAAGGCAACCGTCTCCATTTTTACACTCACCCAGCGAATAAACAAAACAATTCTTTGAACCATCCGGAGTCTTGCCCGTGCCCCCTCGCTGCAGGATGGCATAGGGGACGCGGGGGTTTTTGTTTTTGCTGCCTCTTCCCTTTTCTCTTTGGGGCTTGCCCCCATCGCTGTGACCTGCGCCGTCACCTTGCCTCCCTTACGCTTAGCAGGTTTCGGCTTCGGGGCCTTTGGAAGTGCAGAAGCTGGCGCCGACAACTCCGAGGCCTTGATCAATTGCGTGTCAAGCGCAAAATTGCCTGCTGCATCCTTTCGAGGCCGGATGTTGTCCTCAATGAAACGCTGCCAAGTCAGATTGTCCGCCCGCAACAGACGCCCGAAGAACATTCGGGGTGGATCACGATTAGTTGTACCTGTAACGCCCCAAATTCCCACACCCGTCCGATGGACATAAAACAGGAAGGGAGAGAAAAGGTGAGTTTCGCAAACATCAAACGGAACATGTACATGGACTGTGGTGTAATCACTCAAGCGGAACATGTACATGAACTGTTTATTTCCAAAATTTTCTGGAAGGCCCACCAGCCAACTAACCGAAAACACTTAGAAAAAGCCTCACAACACTCTTGCACAACAGAAGCAAATCCATCAAATATATAGAGAAATATATTTTCACAATCAAGTCAAGCACGAAGCAACGCGGACCGCTTCCTTTTTGTTGCAATAGGGACTGGAGTGAGTCAAGTTTGGATGCGCGCGCCGCACAATACATTGGGATAAAGGCATGCCCTCAACCCCAGGGAGGACGGGCGGGACAGAATTCACGACTCGCAATCGAGCCACAAGACTCCATGCAAAACATGTCAAGTCACACAGCACCAGAAAACAAGGCACGCATGCACACATGGTCGCTGAAAACAAGGAAATAATGAGCTTTATTTCCAATCATGGACCACCAAAATTTATTAACTCCACTCAATCATATCAGAAATATGTGCATCCAAATATCTCCCGACATGACTGATGAAATATAACTATTCAACTCTTGCACACAGTGAACACTCAGGAGCGGTCGCCACTTTTTTTCACTCCCTCCACCTGCGCTCTGAGTGAATGGGGAACTTGTTCCCAATTTACTGCTGCATTGAAAACCTGGACAGCACTTCTGCCTGCCCTCCTCCCCACTTCATCTCTCACAGGCTGAAGTTTGGGTCCACCCTCGTGAACGCTTGATAGCAACCGAAGTCCAACCTCGACCCAGCATCCGAGATATTGCTCCTGCTGGGCACCCTGCTTACCAACACAGTGCATGTGAACGAAAATCCAGCTGAGCATTCTCAAGCAGGAGATTCGTGGCATTCACATGAGCCGAATAGTTATGCACAAAGGAAAACTTTGCGGCTTCGCTGTCGATGAAAATCAAAACACGCCGGCCGGCCAGGATACTACGCCAAGTCTTTTTGGCGATAATCACAGGATAAATTTCTGCAAAGAAAATGACCTGCTTCTTGCCGCCTGCGCGCCATGCCTGGACGACCTGGTCTGGCACCTCTGCACCTAGCACCTCCTGGCGGCCCGAGACCTGGTCTAACAGTACCGCTCCAAAGGAGACAAGATTGCCCTCTTGTTCGCAAGCGCCATCGGTCAAGATGACAACGGGCGGAACATCTTTCCATGGCCCAACTCTGCGCGCTCTGCGCCTTCAAGGAGGGAGATGGCAAAAGAAACCGCCTGGCGAACCGAGTCCAACTTTTTACCGGCTGCATCCTGGGATATCAACTGAGTTGCTATCTGAGTGCAACGACCGAACGTATGGCTCGCAGCAAAAAAGGAGCTTACCCTTCAAGGATGCCAGCAACTTAGCATCGGGGGCTGCACCGTCCAAGAAAGGTTTAACAAGCTGTTTAACGCCATCAAGCCTGCCCAGCTTGTTTTTCACAACGATGTCACCTCGTTCAGCGTCTTCAAACGAGATCTGAGCCCCAAGCATCACGAACTCCGTGGAGAAAGGAAGAGCCTTCTCTCCTTGGGAGATTCTCCACCCTAAAAGGCCTAGAAACTCCTCTGCAGTCTGGCCGAATCGCACAAGCCCTCCAGCTCAAGTTGACAATAATCATCGGAAAAATTTGTGATCACAAGCATGAGCAGCCTAGACAGGCAGAGACACAACGCACGAGCGGCCCTATTGAACCCAGTAACAGCACTGATGGCCCCAAAGGGTAAGGTACGGCCTCGTAAAAGCACACATGTCCCGAGGAGGGATCAAGCACTGCAAGGATGGAAGCCTAAGCATCATCCGGGTATCTGGCAAGCTGCTTATAAGCGGGCTTCAGATCTAGGGCTCTGCCCCGCAACATCCTGGCCTTGCCTTTCTTCCACGCTGCATGGAGAGAGAAGGTTGTCTCTGGCTCACCTGACGACCCAGGCCCTGCAGGCAGCTGGCAAAGTCAATGTACCCAGCGCTTGCCAAACATGTAATGGAAAAGGCTGATGTTCGGCAACGCTGCCGTCGCAGCCAAAACCCTTGCTGGAGAGAAACGATAAAACCTCTGGTCTCAACATCGCGATCTCTGATGTGAAAAGAGATTCTTCACGAACACCATCAACATGAGTACTCAGCCTCTGCCCCACTCCGACGCAAGCTGACCAAACCTTTTTCTCAAGGCAGAAAAAGGGTGAAGGAGAATCTGCCACATTGTAGGAAACGTCTAGTTTTGTGGAAGCAAGGACA